TATTCTATTCTATTCTATTCTATTCTATTCTATTCTATTCTATTCTACTCTACTCTACTCTACGCTACTCTTCTCTTCTCTACTCTACTCTACTCTACTCTACTCTACTCTACTCTACTCTACTCTACTCTACTCTACTCTATTCTATTCTATTCTATTCTATTCTAATTCACTACCTCCAAGGTCCCTTCCAGCCCTAGAATTCTATGATTCCATGATTCTGCTTTGAAAACTCTCTGACCCTTTCCATCCACCTCCCCTACAGCAGCAGCAGCTTGAATTTCCCCGGAGGACCCCAGCTGGCACGAGGTGGGAATAAGCCTGTGCAGTGGTTTGCTGGTCCTTCCTCGCTGAATTTAATCGAGGGAGCAAGCAGGCAGCCAGCTGAATCTTTCCAACCAGAAGAGCCTATTAATTCAAGTCCTTCGGGTAGGTGGGTAGAGAGGCAGCCTCCCGCTTCCTGGTCGGTGAGGGAGGCCTCCCGTGACAATAGCTGACAGAGGCTGTCCAGGGCAAGGTTTAGAAACTTGCTCATTATGGCCTCTGTCATTGATTTACAATTGGCAGAGTTCGGCTTAATTTCTCATCCGTGCAAGTCATGATCGGAGGCGCCAGCAGCACAAATCGGGCACGGGGCGATGCGTTAGGCACCTCAAACAAAATGGAGAGATTTTTTTTTCCCCCCGTTGCAGTGCAGTGCCTTCTTTGGCAGGAGGACGGATGTAGAGAGCTCGCAAGAAGCGTCCTCCGGCAGGCGTTTCTTCATACCTGGTTTGCCTTCAGGTGTTGTAAAATGGAAAGTTTGGGTTGATGCTGCTCATGGAATGGGCCCAGATCAGTTGACAGCAAGACTTTTTTTTTTTTTGGGGGGGGGGGGGGGGGGGAAAAGGGGGCGGTTTTTTGCTGGGGCCCAAGATGTGTCGGAGAAAAATAGGAGCGGGGGGGGGGGGGGGGGGGGGGGGGAAATGAAGAAATAGCTAATTGCAAGAAAAGCCTTTGCCTGACACAAAGGGTGAAATTATTGTGTATATTTCTGTATCTTACATCCCTGTCTCCATCTCGGCCACCATCTTCTACCTTATCTTTCTCTCACTATCGTCTCACTCTCATCTCTCTCTCTCTCTTTCTCTGTTCATCCATCCATCCTATCTCTCTATCTCTATTCAACTTCCATCTCTGTATCTATCTCTGTCTTCTATCTCCTATGTTTTCTATCTACCTTATCCTCTGGCTCTATGTATCTTCTATGTCTGTCTGTCTGTCTCTGTCTATCTACATCTATCTATCTATCTATCTATCTATCTATCTATCTATCTATCTATCTATCCATCTATCTATCCATCATCATCATCATCATCATCATCATCATCATCATCATCATCATCATCATCTCTATCATCTCTATCTCCTCTTCTGGCTCTAAGTATCTTCTATCTCTGTCTGTCTGTCTATCTGTGTCCATCCATCCATCCATCCATCCATCCATCCATCCATCCATCATATCTTTCTCTCTCTCTCTCTCTCTCTCACACACACACACATCTATCTGTTTATCCATTTATCTATCTATCTATCTATCATCCGTCCATCCATCTCTCCAACATCTTCTCCATATCTCCATCTCCATCTCATTTGTCTGTCTGTCTGTCTGTCTGTGTCCATCCATCATATCTCTCTCCCTCTCCCTCTCTCGCTCACATCTATCTCTTTATCTCCCCAACATCATCTCCATCATCTCTATCTCTATCTCACTTGTCTGTCCGCCTCTGTCTGTCTGTCTGTCTGTCTGTCTGTCTGTCCCATATACAATTCCGTTGATCGATTAACAATGTAAAAAAAAGAAAAGAAAGCAAGGCACACAGAGGGCCTGGCCAGTTCTGCCCACCGAAATGTTTCTGAGCAGAGCAAAGAAAACGAAAAGGAACACGGTCTCCATAATGCACCTTTACGGCAAAAGCCATTTTGACACTGCTGAGATGATGATGGCTTGTCGTTCATGCCGAGAAGAGCTTCGCTGTCACAGTGCAGTCCAAACAAAGCATGCAGGCTCGAATCTCGGTTGCCCCGTGTTCGGTTGGACTTTCTCCTAGGAAAATGCACATTCGATTTCAGCCATCAATACAAAGGAGGCCGATGGGGAATTACAGTGGTAGAGGATGCTGGAGGGTAGGTGATTTGCAGAAGAAGGTCACCTGCTTACAACCCTTCTTGGTGTGAGTTTTATAAAGTTGCGGTACAACTCCAGAGAAGGCCGCCTTCTCCCTTCCCCACTGTTCCAGCCTCACGCAGGCAAGGAACGTGGTCAGAAGACTTAGCTCAAGGACAGAAAGGGGTGAAATGTTTGGTATGCTAAAGCTTTCATTTTCCAGACCAGCTGGTTTGCCTCTGCAACCCAACAGGACAGACACAGACTTCAGAGGGTAATTAGGACTGCAGAAAAAAACAATTGCTACCAACCTGCCTTCAGTCGAGGACCTGTATACTGCAGGAGTCAAAAAGAGGGCTGTGAAAATACCTACAGACCCCTCACATCCCGGACACAAACTGTTTCAACTCCTTCCCTCAAAACGACGCTATAGAGCACTGCACACCAGAACAACTAGACACAAGGACAGTTTTTTCCCCCAAATGCCATCACTCTGCTAAACAAATAATTCCCTCAACACTGTCCAACTATTCACTAAGCCTGCACTACTATTATGGTTACTATTAATCTTCCTATCCTTCCTTTCACTCATCTCCTCCCACTTATGACCGTGTGACTGTAACCTTGTTGCTTGCATCCCAACGATTTTTATTGACTGTTTCCTAGTATGATTTGATAGCTAAAAGGGCTTTTAAAGCCTTCCAAAGATCTGATTTTAATGACCTTTTGGATTTGGAGCTCCGGATATATTTTCTTCTCCGGCCAGGTCCACTTCTGCTGAGCTTCCCTGAAACAGCACCATGTTAGGTCAAAGGGCTTGGTAGGGAAGGGACCTCCTAACAGAAGGTTATGTTGAAGCAAAGAGGCAAGAGGTCATAACATGAAGCGGCTGAAGAAGTTTGCTAGCCATGAAATGGATTGCAAACAGCTGATTACAAACATGCATGGAGCTATGGTGGTTAGAATGCAGTATTTCAGGCTGACTTTTCCCACAGCCCGAAGTTCAATCCTGATGCATTCAAGATGGACTCAGCCTTCCCTCTTCCCGAGGTCGGTAAAATGAGGACCCGGATTGTCAGGGGGGCAAAAGGCTGTCTTTGTAAATTGCTGAGAGAGGGCTGTAAAAACACCGGGAAGCAGTGTATAAGTCTTAGTGCTACTGATCCATGTGGATCCTCAGAGCAGAAGCAACCAGGGAGAGTTGAGCAAGGATCTGTATTGTTCTTGTGCATTTGTGAACAATGCAGACACAAGAAAGAGGAAAGCAATTGCGGTGATTGATGCTCGGATTGGGGGGTGGTGGAAAGATGCAGCTATGTAGAGTTAGCAGTCCTTTATGTTTGATCGATTCCAGCCGAACCCCGTTTTCCTTTCCTTTGCAAGGTGAAAGAGCTACACAAACCCAACCTAAATCGAGTCTGCATCCCAATTCTGGTATTTATTCCACAATATGGCAAAATTCCCCACCTTCCCTTCTCCACCCCCCCACCCCCCGGACAAACAGATTCCCAGGCGCCACGCTGTGGAAATGCTTGCCATCTCTGGCTAGTGCCGGAGTGGCTGCCATCTCACTGCAGAGTTGGCAGACGCGCAGGGCGCGAGGTTTGGCACTGCAGCCCGACTGGCTCTCCCAGCACAGAAGAGACGGAGCACCTTTAAAGTTAGATGCGTCGGTTTAAGAAGTTGCCTCTCCAGCTTGCAAACATCAAAACGAAATTTCCCGGCTCCTATTCGTGGCTGGGAAGCCATTGGACACATTGTCACATTGAGCTTTGACCCGTCATTTTTGGATTGCTTTAGTGCCCATGGAGTGGGGTGTTTTTTGGGGGGGGTGGGGGTGGGGGGGGAATATTTTATCTTGCTTATGTGGCACAGTTATTAAGTGGTTCTCTGTGGTTCTGGGTCTGTGTGGGTGAAGGAGAGAGCCTGGCTGCCTTCTCTAATTGTTAGCCTTCTCCGTTTTGGACCGAACGGCTGTTTCTAGCCCATATGTTTTGAAATCCGTTCTGACTTATATTTGCATGGAGAGAAAAAAAAAAAGGTTTGCATTCTAGGACTGAATGCAGCAACCGGAGCTGCTCCTAGAAATGTTTGTGTCGCTCTGAGCCTGCTTCCCTTCTCCTTCCTTGACTGGCTGTTTATTGCTTTGGCAATCGAGTAGACAGGTGTTAAACCTGCTTGGGTGGTGGTGGGGGCCAGGAGGGGCAAGGGGGAAAGAGAAATGGCTTTGGATTCGTAGTGATCTCCTGTAACTGGAAATAGAAACTGTTTTTTCTGTTATGCCTTTTTTTTTTTTAAAGAGACAGTTTTGTGCAAGGGAGAGAGAATTGCCCTTCTTGTTCTTCTGCTCAGATATCCCCTCTAAGCTGTTGTGCTGTTGGTTCTTTCGGGGGTTTTGTTTTGTTTTCTTCAGCAATGGGTTTTCTGTTTTCTTCCTTCTTCCCCCCCCCCTCTTCTCTTTCTCCCTCCTTCCTCCCACCGCCGATGGTAGCAGAAGGGCCCACAGTGTTGTGGAACGGCTGGCTTTGTCCCTGTTTTCACAGATGCACTGGGAATTGTTTTTAATCTCCTTTCTGCTTTCCCATTACAGATGGCGAAGACGACCCACAACTCTCTTGGGTAACTTCATCTCCCTCCAGCAAAGACGTTGCATCACCCACTCAGATGATAGGAGATGGGTGTGACCTCGGCATCGGAGAGGAGGAAGGGGGAAGCGGCCTGCCGTATCCCTGCCAGTTTTGCGATAAGTCCTTCATTCGCCTGAGCTACCTTAAAAGGCACGAGCAGATTCACAGCGACAAGCTACCGTTCAAATGCACCTACTGCAGCCGGCTTTTCAAGCACAAGAGGAGCAGAGACCGGCACATTAAACTGCACACGGGGGACAAGAAGTACCACTGCCACGAATGCGAGGCGGCCTTCTCCCGCAGCGACCACCTCAAGATCCACTTGAAGACCCACAGCTCCAGCAAACCCTTCAAGTGCACGGTCTGCAAGCGGGGATTCTCTTCCACCAGCTCCCTGCAGAGCCACATGCAAGCGCACAAGAAGAACAAGGAGCACCTGGCCAAGAGTGAGAAGGAGGCCAAGAAGGACGACTTTATGTGCGACTACTGCGAGGAGACCTTCAGCCAGACCGAAGAGCTGGAGAAGCACGTCATGGCCCGCCATCCGCAGTTGTCCGAAAAGGCTGACTTACAGTGCATCCATTGCCCGGAGGTCTTCGCCGATGAAAATGCTCTCCTGTCCCACATCCACCAAGCTCATGCCAACAAAAAACACAAGTGTCCTATGTGCCCTGAGCAGTTCTCTTCCGTGGAAGAAGTTTATTGCCACTTAGATAGCCATCGGCAGCCTGATTCCAGCAACCACAGCATCAGCCCAGACCCTGTCTTGGGCAGCGTGGCCTCCATGAGTAGTGCCACGCCAGATTCCAGCGCATCAGTGGAACGGGGCTCCACGCCCGACTCGACCTTGAAACCCTTGAGGGGACAGAAGAAAATGAGATCGTTGGAAAGGGAAGAAGGCCAGGCTTGGTCAAAGGTGGCCTACAGCTGCCCTTATTGCACCAAGCGTGACTTCAACAGTCTTGCTGTTTTGGAGATCCACCTGAAGACCATCCATACAGATAAACCTCAGCAGAACCACACATGCCAGATTTGCCTTGAATCCATGCCTACCTTATACAACCTGAACGAACATGTGCGGAAAGTGCATAAAAACCACGCCTATCCGATGATGCAGTTCAGCAACATCTCCGCTTTCCACTGTAACTATTGCCCAGAGATGTTTGCTGATATCAACAGCCTGCAGGAACACATCCGTGTCGCCCATTGTGGGCCAGGAGCCACAACGCAAGATGGCAACAACGCCTTCTTTTGCAACCAGTGTTCCATGGGCTTCCTCACCGAAGCTTCTCTGACGGAGCACATCCAGCAAACTCACTGCAACATCGGGAACTCGAAGTTGGATTCCCCCGTGGTTCAACCATCCCAGTCTTTTATGGAAGTGTACTCCTGTCCGTATTGCACGAACTCGCCCATTTTTGGCTCCATCCTCAAGCTAACAAAACATATTAAAGAAAACCACAAGAACATTCCACTGGCACACAACAAAAAATCCAAAGGTGAACAGAGCCCCGTGTCTTCGGATGTTGAAGTTTCTTCCCCCAAAAGACAACGGCTTTCTGCTTGCGTCCATTCTGTTTCCAATGGGGAATACCCATGTAATCAATGCGAGCTGAAGTTCTCCAACTTTGAAAGTTTCCAGACCCATCTGAAGTTGCACTTAGAGTTACTGTTAAGGAAGCAGTCATGTCCTCAGTGCAAAGAAGACTTCGACTCCCAGGAGTCTCTTCTGCAGCATCTCACCATCCATTATATGACGACCTCGACGCATTATGTCTGCGAGAGCTGTGACAAGCAATTTTCATCGGTGGATGATCTTCAGAAGCACCTCCTGGACATGCATACGTTTGTCTTGTACCATTGCACCCTGTGCCAAGAGGTTTTCGACTCCAAGGTATCCATCCAAGTGCACCTGGCAGTCAAGCACAGCAACGAGAAAAAAATGTACCGCTGCACGGCATGTAACTGGGATTTCCGGAAGGAGGCGGACCTCCAGATCCACGTGAAGCACAGCCATTTGGGGAACCCTGCCAAGTCACACAAGTGCATCTTTTGCGGGGAGACCTTCAGCACAGAGGTGGAGCTGCAGTGCCACATCACGACCCACAGCAAAAAATACAACTGCAAATTCTGCAGCAAGGCATTCCACGCCATTATTCTGCTCGAGAAACATTTGCGGGAGAAGCATTGTGTCTTCGACGCCGGTGCTGAGAATGGCACGGCCAATGGCATGACGCCAGCCAGCAAGAAGGCTGAGTCGACAGATATCCCAAACATGCTGATCAAAAACCCAGATACATCCAATAGCCACGAAGCTAGTGAGGATGACATCGATGCCTCTGAACCTATGTACGGTTGCGATATTTGTGGAGCTGCGTACACAATGGAGGTCCTGCTGCAGAACCATCGTTTGCGGGATCATAATATCCGACCCGGGGAGGATGATTGTTCCAGGAAGAAAGCAGAATTCATCAAAGGGAGTCACAAGTGTAATATCTGCTCAAGGACCTTTTTCTCAGAGAATGGCCTCCGGGAACACATGCAGACCCATCGGGGTCCAGCAAAGCATTATATGTGCCCTATTTGCGGGGAGCGCTTCCCATCGCTCCTGACCTTAACGGAGCATAAAGTAACTCACAGCAAGAGCTTGGACACGGGCACTTGTCGGATCTGCAAAATGCCACTGCAGAGCGAAGACGATTTCATTGAGCACTGCCAGATGCATCCTGACCTTAGGAATTCCCTCACCGGATTTCGTTGTGTTGTCTGCATGCAGACAGTCACCTCCACTCTGGAACTAAAAATCCACGGAACGTTCCATATGCAAAAATTGGTAGGGAACTCGGCTGCGTCATCGCCCAACGGCCAGGCTTTGCAGAAACTCTACAAGTGTGCTCTGTGCTTGAAAGACTTCAGAAACAAGCAAGACTTGGTGAAACTGGATGTTAATGGTCTACCATATGGACTGTGTGCTGCTTGCATGGCTCGAAGCACCAATGGACAGTCCTTCGGCCTGACCGTACCGGACATTAGCGAAAGACCTTGCGGTAGCCTGAGATGTCCAGAGTGTAGTGTCAAATTTGAAAGTGCCGAAGAGCTAGAGAGCCACCTCCAGCTGGATCACCGAGATCTGACGCCTGAAACCAGTGGCCAAAAGAAGGGTACACAGACATCTCCCATTCCCAGAGTAAGTACTGGCATAATTTTTCATAATTTCTCACTACGAACGATCAGTGCAAATCTGTATTCTGTTCAAACCTTTACAAGTTTGGAATGTATGCAGGTGGTTGTTGATGAATGACCACTTATTCAGGGACTGTTCAGGTGCAGAATTCTGCTGAATGAGTGGTATTTACAATTGGTCCTTGAAGTTCCAGCAGTCCCAACAATGATCATAGTTTTGGGTGCTTGGCAATTGGCCCAGAGTTTTGACCAACACAACACCTGGCAGTCACCCGATTCTCATTTGCAACTTTCCCTACCGGCTTCTCACAAGAAATTTCAATGGGGAAGCCTGCAGGAAATCAGAAGTCATGATCATTGTGGTTGTTGCCTAATGATCTACAATGATTTGCTTAACGATAGTAGCTGGGGGCGCTGCTGGAACTGTTATCACTAAGTGATGTGGTCACGTGACATTGCTCTTTGCAACCACATTGTATAGTGATGGAAACTCCAGTTCCGGTCATTAAGCAAGGATTACCTGTGCTGGGTTCCATCAGGTGAGAAAAAAAACCTTGCGTTCTATTCCATGCTGAAAATGTCTTTGTGTACCAAAGCTTAGGGTTAGTACATCAAATTCTGTTTATAAGGGAGTTCCATATGAAACGGGATAAAATTTTGGATTGGAGTACATCTTTCCTGACAGTCATTATTCTTTAAAAAAAACTTGACTATGAATGCCTAATTGCAAAAACGAAGCAGCAGAAGTTTCAGGTTTTTTTTTTTCTTTTAAAAAGGATAAACTTTACTCTTTAGAAGTCATGGCGGTGGAGATGTTCTTTGGATATGTCATGTGACTTTATTTGCAGACTGGATCATTTGCTGGAAATAAAGATGGTTTCGTGGTTAAGTGATAATGAAGTGCCATACCCTAAATATATTTGTGTGAAGCCTTATCCCTCCGACGCTAATTCCAGGCAGAGTTGGAAAAATGTCTACAAATTGCTGTCATCGGCCTGAAAATTATTGGACGGGGAAGCAATGCATCTCAGTCAATCATTAATTTCTTACCGATATTTTTTTTTTCAATTCGAAATAACTTTTGCAGGAAAGATAACCGGATAATTTTTGCATCCCACTTCTTGGGGTCCTCTTAAAATTTCCAATTTTGAAGAAGGAAAAAGGATACAGTGGGACCCACCACACAATATGTTGTCCCACGTTCTTTAATCTTTCTGCTTTGCTCAGCCTCTAATGTGGAGGTTGGAAATGGGAATTCAGAAGTGCTCAGTTTTTACATCAAATTTTACATCAACATTCAGAACTTTGCAGAGTCGCTGGGAGTCAAACAAATGTGATCATCCTCTGCAGAAGACATTTTCTTAGACCTGTTTCATTTAGGTTCAGTTTCAGATGCTTGGCAATTGAGTCATATTGATGACAGTTGCACTGTTCCAGGGTCATACAAATAATAACAACAACAATATGGATAGTCCCATTGATATCAACCACTTTGGAGAAATATGAGCAATGGTGGTGCAGTGGTTAGAGTGCAGTACTGCAGGCTACTTTTGCTGACTGTTGGCTGTAGAGTAGCAGTTCAAATCTGACCAGGCTCAAGGTTGAATCAGTCTTCCATCCTTCTGAGGTGGGTAAAATGAGGACCCAGATTGCTGGGGGCAATAGCCTGACTCTGTAAACCGCTTAGAGAGGGCTGTAAAGCACTGTGAAGTGGTATATAAATCTAAGTGCTATTGCTAAGTGGGAAGTGAGGGAGGGAGGGAGGAAGAGGAAGGACAAATGAAGGAGGCATGGAAGGAAGGAACGTAGGGGAGGGAGGGGGAAGGAAGGAGAGAAGGGGTGTGGGTGTGTGTGTGTGAGAGAGAGAGAGAGTAAAGAGAGGATGGGAAGATGAAAAGAAGGAAGGATGGGTGGAAGGAAAGAAGGAAGGATGGGAGGAAGGAAGGAAGGAAGGAAGGAAGGAAGGAAGGAAGGAACATAGAGGAGGGAGGGGAAGGAAGGAGAGAAGGGGTGTGAGAGAGAGTAGAGAGAGAGGATGGGAAAATGAAAAGAAGGAAGGATGGGTGGAAGGAAGGAAGGAAGGAAGGAAGGAAGGAATATAGAGGAGGGAGGGGGAAGGAAGGAAGGAAGGGCCTTGGTGGAGTAGTAGTTAGAATGCAATATTGCAGGCTGGCTTAATGCTCATTGCCAGGAGTTCAATTCTGACCAGCTCAAGGTTGACTTAGATTTCCATCCTTCCGAGGTTGGTAAAATGAGGATCCAGATTGTTGGGGGAAAGAGGCTGACTCTGTAAACTGCTTAGAGAGGGATGTAAAGCACTGTGAAGCGGTAGATAAGTCTAAGTGCTATTGCTATTCAGCTCTACACAAAGCATTGACTTAAGTAGCAACCAGACTGGCCCTTGATCAGACTAAGATCTGCTTCCTGAATATGAACTTTTCCAGATAAATTTGCCACTCGCTTCAGTAATGAATTGGCTTGACTGTTTTCATCCTGTGGTGAACATCTGCCAAGGTTCCCAAGGCATTTGCAACCTTCCTTCCAATGTCCATTTGTGGCTCAGCTCACCCCTCATTCACGAGCACCCCAAACCCAGCTGAATAGGCTATCGAGGCACAAAACGTTTTCTGGGTGGCAAATAAAATGGGGAGGGGGCTGCCCAGATATTTTTGCCATCCTACCATTGGAATTATGTTGGATGGAGATCAAAAAGTGGCTCTGTCAATCATCCGTCAAGCATTTGAGGGGCTGCCCCAAAGAAGAGGCAGTCAAGCTATTCTCCAAAGAGTCGCAGAAGGCAGGGCAAGAAGCAACGGGTGGAAACTAATCAAGGAGAGAAGCGACCTAGAACTAGGGAGAAATTTTCTGACAGAACAATTCATTTGTGAAACAATAACTTGCCTCCAGAAGTTGTGGGTGCTTCAACGCTGTAGATTTTAAAGAAGAGATTGGACAACCGTTCATCTGATAAGGGTTTCTTGCTGGAGCATGGGGTTGGACTAGAAGACCTCCAAGGTCCCTTCCAACAGTGTAACTCTGGCCCAACACCCGTCTTTCTTCTCATTTGAGTCTGAAACGGCCTGACAAAGCAACTTTCTGTGATGAAGCTGGGAACAGTCACCCTGGAAGCCTTTGCCAGTGAGGGCAATATGTTGGGTTCAAAGGATTTTGGGGGGAGGGAGGGGGGACTTTGAAACAACCCCGAGCTATAACTCCTTTTGGCTTTGTTTCACTCCGTGCTTTGGCGCAGGGCTCCCTGGAGGTCAAGTGAATCAATGACTAGACCGGTCTCCAGCTGTGACATACGTCGAATTCTGCAGAGAATAAAATACAGAATGGAAACACCTCTCCCTTTGGCGTGAAGCCTCCTGGGCTTTCGTCAACCCGAACCACTTATTACCCTGGTCCTCCGATCTTTCTACTTTTTCTTTCTTTCTCGATGTTGCACTTTGCCCTCTGCCACTTAAAGAACAGGGCCTTGGCTTTTATGTCAGGCTAATTCTAGCGTTGTGTGGCTGCAGACAGACAGTGGCACTTCAAACTCTCATTGCACAGTTGTGTGTGTGTGTGTTTTTTTAAAAAAACCTACTATTCTTCTGGCTACCTCACAGTCGCCATGAGTGGAAATGGATGCTGTCCCCTTCACACCTACCTTTAACTATCTCTCTTCAAGAAGCGCTTCCACATTTCATCTTTTCTCTGGAGAGATTTTTAAGTTCTTCAACAAAGTAAATGTGTTGAATGGGATCCCAAGAGAGCAGGGTTTTTTTTCTTCCCCTGTAGAAGATAAAGAAAAAAAAAAAATCAGAATTCATATTTGTGCCAAATTACAATTTACCCAAGGTATTGGCGTATATGCTCATATTTTAGTTCCGTCGTTCTACTTTATTGTTAACAAAAGCGAGTCCTCCTAATAGACTGATGGATGCAAACAGAGCCTATGCCCTTTTGTCTAACCCAGAGGCCTCCATACTTGGCAACTTTTAAGACTTGTGGAGTTCAACTTCCAGAATTCCTGAGTCATCCAAGCTGGCTGGGGAATTCTGGGAGTTGAGGTCCACAAGTCTCTGTGTATATATAAAATATATCTAAAAACGAAATACCACTCACGCATCGTCACAAAATCTCCAGAATCATAAAGCCTAACAAACTTGAAATTTGGCATGTATGTTCCTCATGGCTTCTAGGTGCTCACTAAGAAAAGATTTTTAGAAATGACCAACAGAGCATTAGTATTTCCTATATTATTATTATTATTATTATTATTATTATTATTATTATTATTATTA